AGAGGAACACAGACGCTGGAAACAACCTCAACCTGGAATCTGGTTAGAGATGGACCCTGGGGAATACAGAACCTCCTTGGAGTGTGAGGAAGCATCGTCTCCAGGGAGACTCAGAATGGCCCTCACCGGGCCTGCGTGAAGAAGACAGCCCAGATGCTCCAGCTGCCTCTTCAAAAACCCCACACAGGCTGCAGTACCCACTTGCTGGAGGGCTCTGACTGACCAGCGTGGAGTTCTGCCTGGAAAGAGTCAACTGGGGTGAGATCTCTCCATACCAGGGAGGAAGCAGAGGGGTGGAGAGGCACCAGGCTGCCTTGCCTATGCTGGTCTCCATACAAACGTCCGGCAGGTTCCTTTTCCAGGACACTTGCCGTTTTCCTGGCTGTCGGCACCTGCTCCCTCCAAGGAGCCTTCTCATTCCTCCCAGTTCTAGACGCTGCCTCCCAAAATAAGAACGTCCCCGACGAGGGCTGTGACTGGCCCAGAGCTCTGTGGTCATCTGTCTGTCCTTCTTTCTGTGGACAGGGACTCTGATGTCTCAGCAACTGATCCTAGGTCGACCTGGCAGGGTCCCTCACTCACAAGCAGTCTCTTCGGACTCCAAGGGAAGAGCGCTGGCTGCTTGGTCTTAATCACAGCTGCTATTTCTTCAGTGCCAACAATGTACAGGGTTCTGTGCATCACTTGTAGACACAGCCCTGCAACTCCACGAGACAGGTGCAATACTGACAGCCACACCACTGACTGGGAAGCTCGGAAAGGCAGCATGCTGGCTTCCCCAGGTCACACAGCCAGCAAGTGGCCTTAGACCCCAGCGGCACACCCTTTTCTCACTATGCTCTGCTGCCACTGGTCCGCACTCAGCCCTCACCATGGTTGGCTCCTTTGTCCAGCAGATCCCAGGTCCCCAGGGGGTCACTGCTGTCTTTGCATGAAGCCCACCCCCCCCCAGCTGCTATCCGAGCCAGAGAGGTGGATGTCTAGACTCTCTCCCTAAGAGTCTCCCACCTCCACCAGCCTGAGCTGTACAGCTCACAGCTCTCAACCAGGGACTGGCGTAGCTGGCAGATTTCACAGGACTGCCCTTTCCTCTGGTCAGTGTCAGGGGATCAGAAAGGGGTGTGGCTGGGCTTCTCTAGATCCCACTCCTGTGACCAATAAAATCTCACCAGCTGCATCCAATGGCAACCTTCACCCTGTTACTCCGATGTCTTTGTAGGAGTATTTTTAGTCAAACTTTTTTTTTTCAAAATAAATGTGAATTGTAAAAATAAGTGCTTGGACTCAATATTTTATTTCCTCTAAAGTTACCCAGGAAACCAAATGAGAATTCACAGAAGCCCTGAGTGGGGTTCTGAAGTGTGATTAGGAGTTTGCCAGGGCTACAGATGGAGTCCTAGGTTGGAGCTGGGGTAAGAATTTTGGCTTGGGCTAAGGCAGGGTGTTACCCTGAAGCAGTAACTTTACCAACATCCATTCAAGTTGCAGCGCTAGAGCACTAATAACAGAAGTCCAGCTATGTATACAAACTCTACCACTCACGGACCCTGTGTCCTTTGGAGAGATGACATAAGCAGCTAAGCCTGTGTGTCGGGTGCCTGTCTCATCGCTGTGACCCAACACCAGCAGATGGGGACACCTTTGAGGAAGGTGTTTTAACTCATGGGTGCAGTTTACGGCCACTTGTCCCCATTGCTTGGGCAGAGCATCACAGCAGTGGGAATGTGTGTCTGGGGAGAAAGCAGCCACAGGAGGGAGGGGTCTATACAGCCCCCAAGGACACTCCTCCCAGGGACTACTTCCTCCAGTGAACCCCATGTCTCACAGGGCCACCACCTCAGATAATCATATCTTATTAATTTGCGTATTTATGTTGGAAGTTAGAGGACAACTTGTAGGAGTCAGTTCTCTCTCTATTCCATGGGACCCGGGAATAGAACTCATCACTAGGCTTGGTGGCACGTTGGGCCCCAGCCCCCACGGGGTCCCTGTGAGTTGCTTGTCAGCCAATAACCACAGGTGCTTCCTGTTTTCTAGTCCTGGCTTACAGCCTGGCCTTGCCCCACTGGCATCAACCTCTAATTATGAAAACACGAACTCTTACACCTGGGGTTTCTCCACTGTGTTGTAAGTCTGTATGTAAGGCTGCTCCCTCCTTGCAATAAACACACACACACACGCACGCACGCACGCACACGCGCGCGCGCGCGCGTATTCTCTTAACACAAACGGCTGAACGTCTCGTCTTTCATTTAAATCTCCAGGCTTTTGCCCGACACATTAGACTTGCTGGTGGTGCAGGCACCGCAGTGGCAAGTGCCTTTACCCACAGAGATGGCTCCCTGGTCTTCCATTCACATGCTAAATCCATCAATGGATTAAATCATTCATTGGTCAGAGCCCTGTGAGTTATCAAGTCTGGAAATATCCTTGAACACACTATGAGCTCCTCTGCATCCTCAAGGCAATCAAGTTGAGGGTGGAGATTAGCCATCATGGCCTAATGGCCAAGTCTGTAAAATGGGCTGCTACCTTCTAACTAGGGTATGGGTGTTGATAAAGGAGTATGGTGAGGGCTTAGTGAGCCCACAATGGCAGGACCGGATCTGTCACGTGCAACTTCTTTTTTTTTTTTTTTTTTGGTTTTTCGAGACAGGGTTTCTCTGTGGCTTTGGAGGCTGTCCTGGAACTCGCTCAGTAGACCAGGCTGGTCTCAAACTCACAGTGATCCACCTGCCTCTGCCTCCCGAGTGCTGGGATTAAAGGCATGCACCACCAACGCCCGGCCACATGCAACTTCTATGCTCACAACACAGCTCAGGCTGACATTCAGCCAGTGTCTGCCATGGAGATGTCAGGTGAAGGCTGTGAGAGGAGGGGCCTGTGTCCCAACTTATCTGGCAGGTTTGAGGCTAAGATGATCAGGATATACCAAAGTCACAGTGCTGAATCTCTCTCTTCGCACATGTTCTCATGGGTGGTTCCCTACTCTGCAGGGAACAGCTCCTGAGACCCCCCTGCAGAACTGACCAGCACTTGGATTCTGTTCTGGGGACCGGAGGTAGGACTGGGATGCTATGCTGCCCAGTTTTATGCTAACTTGACATGAGGTATAGTCATCAGATAGAAGGGAACCTCAATTGAGAAAATGTTTCCCTAAGACCAGGCTGTAGGTGTGCTTACAGGGCATTTTCTTAATTAGTGATTGATGGGGGAGGGCCCAGACCATTGTGGGTGGTGCCACCCTTGTGCTAATGGCCCTGTAAGAAAGCAGGTTGAGCAAGTCAGAGGGAGCGAGCCAGTAAACAGCATTCCTCCGTGGCCTCCACATCACTTCCTGTCTTCAGATTTCTGCCCTGGCTTCCTTCAGTGATGGACCATGATGTGTAAGTATAAGCCAAATTAACCATTTTCTCCACAATTTGCTCTGGCCACAGTGTTCTATCACATCAATAGTAACCCTCAGACAAATTGGTACCAGGATAGTAGGGTGTTGCTGTGACAGACCTGAACATATTGTTTTGGGAACGTTGTGGAAGGACTTTGGAACTTTGGCCTAGAAAAGCCATTAAGTGTTGTGAGCTCCGTGAGCTGTTCTGTAGGAGCTTGGGAGAGAAGAATGTTGAGAGCGGTGTAGGCAATGGGGGCTGGCTTGTGGAGTTTCAGAGGGAAGCAAAGACTCTACTGAGCCATTCGTGTGATGAATCCATGGTGTCTGGTCAGCTGGGGCTGAAGAGTCAGCTGTGATTAACAAGAGACCAGAACCACTGAAGCATTGCTGGATGCTAGTCAGCTGGGCTGAAGACTCAGCCCGAATTAAGAAGAGAGCAGCATCACTGAGGTGAAGTATTCTGGGAAGTGTTTCCTCAGGGTCACTACCCAGAAGCTGTGTCCAAGAAGAGACCAAGGTTATAACTCCTGTTGGGTTTGGGGGAAGGAAAGGGAAGAGAGATGTGATATAATTATGATCTCACAAAATACAAGAAATAGATTTTGTTAATTAAAATATATAGTAAAATTGGCCAAATAAAAAATACTTTTAAGAAAGTACTTAAAGCTGGGTGATGTTGGCACGCCTTTAGTCCCAGCACTTGGGAGGCAGAGGCAGGCAGATCTCTGTGAGTTCAAGGCCAGCCTGGTCTACAAAGTGAGTTCCAGGACAGCCAGGGCTACACAGAGAATCCCTGTCTCGGGGGGGGGGGGGGCTTTAAGGTGAGGATGCATAAATAATCCAGAGAGGGGATGGGAACAAAAATATCTACTCTCAACAGAAAGAAAACAATGGTGTGGTAGAAACACCTTCCACATGGAAGGATCAAAGCCAGATCTTTAGCTCACACCCACCTAAAAGTTAGTTTCAGGGTTATGAAAAGCAAAACTAGGGTCACACATAGCTCTATGGGCTTCAGAAGACTACTTTCAGCATCTCTGTGCTTTGATGAAGCTATGTGACCTGTCTGACCACTGTCTCATTACAGCTAATACATAAACTACAGACAGGCTCTTGGAGAGTTTGAGAATTCAAGGACTGTGATTCCACTTCTCAAAGTGGCCTCAGAATGTCAGTGGGATATGTCAGGCAGGGTCCTCCAGAGAAACAGAACTGGCAGGACATACATTAAGAGATTTATTCTATTTCAGGGAACAGATTTAGTGTTTTCCCAGTAAATCCATAGTTGGTAGGACAGACCAGCAGGCAGGAAGTCCCGGAGGGGTTGAATGCCACTGATCATGGTGAGGTTTCTCCCTCTCTAAGCCGCAACTTCACTTTCTTAAGGCCCTTCCATAGCTAAATGAGGCCCCGGATTACAGAAACTACAATCCTTAATTTAAGTCAGTGGATGAAGCTGCTAACCATGTCTACAAAACACCCAGATTAATGTTGGGTAGCCGGGAACCATAGCCTGCCAAGTAGATGCAGGAGATGAACCGTCCTGGAGGGGGAAGATGGAGCAGGGAAATAGGTCACTACTCCTACAGCTCTGGAGAGGAAGATGAAGGCTGGAAGGGTGAATGTGTCGAGAAGCAGTTGGAGGAGTGGGCAAAGCCATCATGATTTGCTGACGGGTTGGATGTGAAGGTGAGAGACCACGTGGAGGATACTTCGAGGGTTCAACCTGATCCCTGCGCTTGGTGAACCGCAGAAGTGGGCTGGAGGTTGGGGGCGGGCATTAGAGAAGTCTAACCACTTCGATGGCAAGTGGGTAGCCAGATGTACACACCTGGAGTTCGGGAAACAATTTAGAGTGTAGCAGTGTCAATGTGGAGGGTGGAGGGTGGGCCAGGTGAGTCTGGGGAAGCCTGAGAAGGGCGGCGAACGTGAGAGCAATGGAGCGATAGGCTTGGGTGAGGCTGGGTGAGGAGTGTAGTGCATAGTGAATGAATGCAGCAAGAGGGGAGACTGAGGCGGCGGTGGTGGCGCACACCTTTAATCCCAGCAGTAAAGAGGGATATAAAATGGAAGGAGACAGCGGTCAGTCTGCAGTCATGCTGAGGACAGGATCACCCCTTTGGTCTGAGCCTTGGTAGAGGTAAGAACTCTCTAGGGGCTGGCTGCTTTGCTCCTCTGATCTTTCAGCTTTCCCCCTTAATATCTAACTCTGGGTTTTTATTGTTAATACCAACTAGAATTCGTGCTACAAACTGGTATCACCCTTTGGCCTCCACATTCACACACACACACATACACACACACACTCACACACACACACACACACACACACACCTCTGCAACTTAATCCCACCTTAAGTCCATGTACTGATACACACTGGTTTTAGAATTCGTAAATTGGGGGTGGCATTATTCAAAGGAACTTCTTTCCTTTTTTCTTTGTTTTTCAGGGGTGGGGAGGGTGGTTTGAGGCAGGATTTCTCTGTGTAGCCCTGGTGTTGATCTACAAAAGGACCTTAAGAGGACAGAGTGATGAGCTACATACCAGAAGATGCTTGTACACCGTGTGTCCAGCAAAATGACCAGCAATCCAAAGATGCATGTACTGTGGTAGGGGACATGAAAAATCCAACATCACTAGCTTTTAGGAAGTTGAAAATTAAAACCACAGTGACATCTATTAAAATTATTAAAATAAGCTGGGCATGGTAACGCATGCCTGGAACCCCAGCACTTGAGAGGACCACAAGTTTAAGGCCAGCCTGGGCCACAATGAGACCTGGTCAGAAAAAAACAAAGAAATGTCACCACCAAATGCTAGCCAACATGGTGGGGGACTCCTATCTCACTAGATGGATCCCAAACCAGCAGCTTGGCAATTGCTTCAAAAACATCGTGTACTTCCATTGGTCCCCAATCCCTTGCACTTCTGGGCATTTATTCCAGAGCAATAAAAGCAAGTTCACATAAATGTGGGTAAGCAAATGCTCATAGCAACTTTATTCATAGGAACTGCAAGTTGGAAACAATCCAGATATCCTTCAAGAAGTGAATGGTTAGACAAATCATGTTCCATTTGTCCATGAAGTCACTACTCTGCAACCAGAAAGAACGAACTGCTTATACCTGTAGCCACTTGAAATGACTGGAAAACCATGCTAAATGCTGAGGGAGGGTCCCCAAAGTTTGCCGACTTCCCAACTCCCATTTAATGCCTGAAATTCTTTTCTTTCTTTTTTTTTTTAAGAATTTATTTTAGTCTTAATGACAGGTATACCACCAAGATCTGCCCAGTGGAGGGCAGCAGACAGTGCAGACCTCTTCAGCCTTTCCCCAAGTCTCCGAATAAAGTGTTTTGACATTCCCCCAAAAAGAATTTATTTTATTTTGGAGTATTTGCTGTTAATCCTAGCACTCAGGAGGCAGCGCAGGCAGATCTCAGAATTTGAGGCCATCCTGGTCTACAGAGTTTTGGGACAGCCAGGACCACACACAGAAACCCTGTCTCAAAAATACAAAAAAAAAGTATTTTACTTTTATGTGTATGCAGGGGGCATGCTCCTACAGAAGCCAAAAGATCACATCAGACCCCGAAGCTGGGGTTATAGACAGTTGTGAATTGCTCAAGGAGGAAGCTGGGACCCAAACTCCAGTCCTCTGCATGAGAAGCAAGTGTTCTTACGTGCTGAGCCATCTCTTTAGCCCCTCCCCCTTTAAAATAGCCCATTTAATTGGTGTGCTTTGTGCACACGTATGCTTGCCTATGTATGTGTGTCCATACACAGGTGTCATGGTACACAGGTGAAGGCCAAATAACATGGGGTTGTTAAAATTAACTTCCTCTCATGTGGGTTCTGGGCCTCAGACTCGGGTTGTCAGGTCTAACAGCAAGCATCTTTACCCAAGGAACCACCTTTCCAGCCCCTAAGATGTGACAGTGTTAAAATGACCGAATTCCAGAAACAGAACAGGCTGTGATTAGTGCTTAAGGAAAGGGTAAGGCTTGGGGAGCAGGTGGAGAGGGCTAGGAATGGGGAAGGCAGGGCTGTTTGTGCTGGGGAAAAAGCTTTGGATCTTGGCTGCATTAGATCAATGTCTTTCTTACAACATTTTGCAAGATGTTCCTGAGAGAAGAAACTGGGTAAAGGCTACTCTAGTTATTTCTGACACATGTGTGGGGATTTATAACTATCTCAAAATTAAAAGTTAAAGCTTTTAAAAGATACATTGGAGCTGAGCATATTGCTCACTGGGAGAGCATCTGCCTACTAGCACACGAGGCCCTGGGTTCAATCTCTAGTGCCAATGTGTTGTGTGTGTGTTATACAAAATGCAACCCCTAACCTTGCATTAAATTTAACAGGAATAAATCTCATCAAAATGTTAAAACCTGCCAGGTGTGGTGGTGCACACCTTTAATCCCAGTACTAGGGAGGCAGAGGCAGGCGGATCTTTGTGAGTTCCAGGGCAGCCAGGGTTGTGACACAGAGAAACCCTATCTCAGAAAAAAAAGTTAAAACTCTGTTCTTCAAGACACCATTAAGAAAATGGGCAAATGACTCAGCAGCTCAGGTGGCCAAGGAGGCAGGAATTCAAAGGGAGTCTGACCAACATAATGAAACCCTGTCTGTAAAATTGTAATGTTTGGAGTGGGAGATCAGGAGAAGTGGCTCAGTGGTTAAGAGTTCATACTAGGGGGCTGGAGAGATGGCTCAGCGGTTAAGAGCACTGGCTGCTCTTCCAGAGGACCTAGTTCAATTCCCATCATCCACATGACAGCTCACAACTATCTATAACTCCAGTTCCAGGGGATCTGATACCCTCACACAGACATACATGCAGGCAAAACACTAATTCGAGTAAAATAAGAATAAATCATTTTTAAAAGAGTTCATACTGCTGTTGCAGAGGGTCTAAATTCAGTTCCCAGCACCCATACCCACAGGTTCACAGCAGCCTGCCCATAACTCCAGCTCTGATACCCTCTTCTGGCCTCCTGGGGATCCTACTCTCATGAGGACATAATGTGAACTATATCATTGTTTGTTTTTTTAATCTTACAAAGAACAGGGGTTGGGAGTGTGGCTCAGATGGAGCAGTTTGCCTGGTGTACATGAAACCCTGAGCGTTTGTGCCCAGTACTGCATAAATGGGGTATGGTGATGCAAGTCTATAATCTCAGCACTCAGGAGGTGGAAGGAGAATCACAAGTTCAAGGTCACCTGGGCTACATACTGAGTTCCACAGCAGCCTAGATTACAGGAGAATGTATCTCAAACTACATACATAAATAGACTTACATAAGAAAGGAAAATGAAAGATCAGTCCAAAGAGTGAGAGGAACTGTATCCAGAGAGATAGTGTGTGCATATATACATATATATCTTATATACTTATATATTTTTTACAATTCAATAAATAGGATACAGTTAAAGCCACAGTGAGATAGGACTTCAGAACTACCAGCGTGGCTAAAATTAAAGAGACTGACAGAGCCAAGTGTTGCCACATACGTGGGCAACAGAACCACCACACATTTCCATGTGGGGATGGAACGTGGCACCAGGCTTTTGGAAAACTGCCTGGCAGTCACATCTAGAAACTTACCCAAGAGCAATGAAAGCCTATGCACATAGGAGGACTTGCACACAAACCTCTCTTCCTAACAACCTCCATCTGGAAACAACCCAAGCATTCATCAGCAGACGAAAGAATAAAGGGACCATGCTGTGGGATCAAAAGCAAATGAACTATGGATGTCCATAAAGACTCGGACCTCAAAAACAACACACTGAACCCAAGGAGATGCACACACAACCTTGGGATCCCATCCGCACCAAAGTCAGGCGCAGGCAAAACTAAAATGGCAGGAGGCTGGTCAGTGGTTGCCTGGGACTAGGGGAGGAAGAGAGGGAGGGACTGACTTGTAAAGGAATAGTGGGGGTGGGGTGATGGAAATCTCATGGGTCTTGGTTGTGGTAATGGGTATAAATATTTCTCTAAATTGTCCAAACTCAGGCTGGGGATATAGCTCAGTTGGTAGAGCACTTACCTAGCACTTGAAAGTCCTGGGTTCTATCTGCAGCCCACTAAAGAAATCTATAAACAAACTGCACCTGATGGTGTCTTTAATGTTAGGCAAATTGTAACTCAGTTAAAAACAAAACATGCTGTTCTTTTAAACAGAGTCTCATGTGCTCCAGGCTGGCCTGGACCTCCTGCCTCCACCTTTCCAATAACAGAGCTGCAGGTGTGCACCACCACACCGTGTTTCTGCAGACCCGCACAAGCTCTCTACCTTCTGAGCTACACTCCCAGCCCAGTGAGAGTGGTTTTTAAGACACCGATCCTGGTATTGTCTTTGTTTCAAAACACACACACACACACACACACACACACGTTTCCGTATTTGTTTGACTGTTTGAAACAGGGTCTCCTGCAGTCCTACCTGGCCTCCCGATTCTCCCAAGTTCTAGCCTGTATCAGCGTGGCAGGTCAATGCCTAAGTGTTTAAGTGCTTACTGTAAATTCCCATATAACTCTTCTTCCCAGGTGAATAAGGGCACTTTGAAACCAGCTGCTGTCCAAGAAGATTCCACTTTGCCAACTATTGTGTTCTCTGGTGGGCCTCCCTCAAACATCGGGTGGGAAGCTGGAGGAAGGACAAGACTAGAGCTGGATAGACACCATGCAGGGGAGGCTGCGGGGAAGAGAGGCTGAAGTGGGGGGAAGAAGCTATGGGGGTGGGGGAGATGAGAGGGTGGCAGGTAACGTGGGGGAGAGAGGCTAGAGGGGAGGTTGCAGGTAAGAGGAGAACTGCAGGCTGGTGTGGGCAGGCTGGGGGCATGAGGAGGGTTTCATGCATGGGCAATGCAAAGGCATGGGTGAGTGCGCGTGTGCGGAGGCTCCAGCAAGGATTCCCAACTCATTGAGAGCCGAACACCGGCCTGCGCTGCAGGCGCAGCACTCCATAGGTATTGAGTCCAGGCACGTCGAAGCCTGGTGCCAGCCCGTGGCGGTCCAGCGGGTAGAAACGCACCAACTGCCCGTGTTGCGCCTCCAGAGACAGCCAGGCGTCGGCGAGCGGCAGAGTGCAAGGGAATTCGCGGGCCACGTGCAGCTGGAAGACTCGTCCGCGCACATGACGCAGGGCGAGCGATCGGAAGGCGGCGGGCACGAGCGCCTCCACGCGTGGCCCAAACTGGCGCAAGCGCAGCTCGCCCCGCGGCCCCGCGGCGCGCACCTCGTAGAAGGTGCGGTTGGCGAATGTGAAGAAGCCGGCGAATGGGCGCGCGTGGGGCGGGGGCGCGGGGACGCGCTCAGCATCGCGCAATGCATGATCCAGAGCGGGCAGCAGCATGTCCAGGGCGTCAGCCACCAGGTCACTAGTGGATGGGCGCGGCCCCGCCAGCAACAGCACAAACCCCAAACGCAGCGGTGGCACGAGCGCCAGGCTGGCAGCATAGCCGTCCAAGTCTCCGTCTTTGCGTGCCACTCTGTATCCACACCGCTCGTGGAACTCCCAGGGTGTGCCGGTTTCACGGGCGAAGTAGTCGTGGGCACAGGCGCGCAGTGGTGACAGCAGCGTGGCCAGGCTGTCGGGCCGCAGCAGCCGTCGGGACCCTGCGCCAAGTAGCGCAGCCGTCAGCCTGGCCAGGTCTGCAGCCGTTGAGTACATCTGGCCTGATGGCCGGTACCAGTCCAGGTCGTAGAGCGGTGCGGACCGGCCGCTGCCGTAGAAGCCAGCTGCCAGGCGAGCACGCACAGCTCCAGTCAGTGCAAAGCCAGTGTCGCTCATCCCCAGCGGCTCCAAGACCTGCTCAGACACCCAGCGTTCATAGTCTCCCTGTGCCGTGTGCGCAGCCAGCACATGGGCAAGGAGCGAGAAGGCCAGAGTGCTGTAGTGACACCTGGAGGGAGAAAAGGGGTCATTAGGATGGGGTCCTGGAGATCTACGATCTCCAGGACCGTGTGGTGTGTGATGGCACCAGTAGGGAAAGAAAAGCATGGCTTACAGTCCAGTATTTGGAGAAGCAGAGGGAAATCTGGCCCAGGGTAGCCCAGGAGTACCAGCTGCCTCTGCCTGATGTGTGTTGTTCATCCTCCACCCCCCCCACCCCGCCCCCAAGCTCTCAAAGCTACACTTGTTCAACCGTCAGACCTTGACCTAAACACCATTATTTATCAAGGCCAAATCTGTATTCGTGTCATTTACTTCTCTGGTGTGTCTCCCTCATCAGTGCAAACTGTAAAAAGGAGCCTCGGTCACGTGCTTACTGGTGTATCCAACTCTAGCAGATCTGGGTGGGGTAGTTGCCGCTACTGCTTTTTGTGTCTTGTTTGTTTTTGGTTTGTTTGTTTGGTTGGTTGGTTTTTGGTTTTTCGAGACAGGGTTTCTCTGTGGCTTTGGAAGCTGTCCTGGAACACACTTTGTAGACCAGGCTGGCCTCGAACTCACAGAGATCCGCCTGCCTCTGCCTCCCTAGTGCTGGGATTAAAGGCGTGTGCCACCAATGCCCGGCTTTGTGTCTTGTTTTGTTTTTAGACAATCTCATTGTATAGCCCACGTTGGCCTCCATTTCTCTATCCTCCTGCCTCAGCCTTCCAGATGTTGGGATTACAGATGTGCACAACCACACCATCTCCAGAGCAGACACTTAGTAAACAATTCAGTTGAGTGCCGGGACACTGGAACAGACCTGTGTTGGGGGCCCAGCTCTTCTAGGCCTTGCGGTGCCTGCCTCTCAGTCTTTGTGGCTATAGGATGGGCTCTGTTCAGTGGTCCCCAGAACCCTGCGGACTCTGATCATATGGGGGAAGCACTTCCTCAAGTGTGGCTGGACTTTAGAGCTTACTCCTCACCTGGTTCCTGGGTCAGCCACCAGGACATCATCCCTGAGCAGGCTCAGAGCCTCCTGGGTGCTGCCCCTCCACAACAGCGAGGTGCCCCGCAGCCTTCGGGGAAGTCCTAGGGAGAGCAGTGGTCAGACCTGCAGGACTTGTGCTTTGCTGGGGAAGTCCCTTCCCTAGAGGCCATCAAATCACCTGTCCTTACATGTCCCTGTCCCTCCCCCACCTCTCCTCCCACCCCCAGCAGCTGTGATTTCCCTTTCTGAAAGCAAACTGTTTTCATCTTTCTTCTCTCCTGCTCTCCCAGGTGCTGGGATTGCAGGCAGGTGCCACCAAGACCAGTCCTTCCAAAGGCATTTAGTACATCCTGAAATATTTAATATTTAGGGCTAGCAAGATGGCTTATCCAGTAAAGGTGCCTGACTCCTTGAGTTCAATACCCAGGACCCCTGTGGTGGTAACAGACAACAAACTCCTGCACTTTTAGAACCCAGGACCCCCAGCCTAGGGGTGATACCACCCATAATGATCTGGGCCCCCCATCAATCGCTAATTAAGAAAATGTCCTACAAGCTTGTCTACAACCAGGTTCCCTATCTCTCAGATGACTTTAGTTTGTGTCAAGTTGACGTAAAACTAGCCAGGTCAGGGTGTGTTAAGTTTAAATCAATTTAAATTTCCTCCGCTGTTGTAGACTAGGACATTGCCGCCATGGTTTCCCCAGTCAGTGCAACCACCGTTCCAACCTTGTCAGTCTGATGGGGACAGTGTGTCTCTGTGTGGTTTTAATTGCACGTGTGTTTCGATGAACAAGGGTTGGCATCTTTTAATATTCCACAGAGCCTTTTCTGTGCTGTGTCAGTTCTGCCCTTCACCCATGTCCCCTGTGGACTGTGGCTTCTACATGTTCTTCACTGTAGAGCTCCCTACTGGGTTTAACTTGTTGCCTGGCCATTGGCATGCCACACAGATCCTGACTCAATTGTCTGGGACCTGTGTCTCTGCCTGGCCTGTATTCCCAGGTTCAGGCCAGGGATGGAGCTCAGCTGGTACAATGCTTGCTTAACATGTTTGAATCCCTGTGCTCCTTCCCCCCAACAACGTACATGCCAGATATAGAGGCCCATGCCTGTAATCTTAGCACTCAGGAGGTAGAGAAGGAAGGACCAAAAGTTCAGGGTCATTCTGAGATACACAGTGAGTTTGGAGCCAGCCTGGGCTACAAGAGACCCTATCTCAAATATAGTAAGTCCCAGTGCTAAAGAGATGACCCCTAAAGCTGCTCTTTCAAAAGACCCAAGTCAGTTCTCAGCGCTCAGCTGTAGCTCCACCTGGGGGGGGTGGGATCTGGTACATACCTCAGTGGACACCCCCCCCACACACACACGGCATACACTCACACATGCACACACATACATGCATTTTTAAAGTAAGGTTAAAAAGTACCCCAGGCTTACCTCAGTTTTTTTCTACCATGGCTACCACCCATGGCCTGAGGGTTGGAAATATGGCCATTTAGGAACCAAAGCAGGGTCCTAATTGATGGGAATCTGCGTCCTGTCCCTGTCCCCCAAGCCCCTCTGATGTAAACTGGCTCAGCTGGGCAATTCCGAGGCTCACCTGACAACTGACTAGCCATCCTCCGGAGCGTGACAGAAGACGGCCTTGGGAGGAAGCCCATCTCTTCATATTCCCCCACTGGGCCCTGTGGTTCAGGGTCTTGGGCCTTGCCCAGCGGGTTGTTGATGGAGAAGGTGCTGGCATAGCGCTCCAGAGGGTCATCCAATGAGGCCACGATGCCCTCATCCCACAGGCGATACAGCATAAGCACAGGGAAGATCTTGGAGATGCTGGCGATCCTTTGTCGGGACACAGGAGTACAGAGGGCAACTGTCAACCTCACAGCCTACTTCCCACCCTGTGCCCAGCCTCCGGCTTCTCATATGCAAGAGTCCACCCTAGTCTGCAACTCCAGCTGAATCACAGCCTCTGTAAAGAGCCTTGAGATGTGTAGAACATACCAGAAGCTTGGATAGGATAGACAGTTCAGCGCCTGCCCCATACTAGACCTTTTACCAAGCCCCACCTGTACTGGGGCAGACCTGGATTTAGTGAGTGTTGTCTCTCACTAGCTGTGTGTCCTTGGGCAAGTTACTAGACCTTTCTGAGAGTTTGACTGTTGGTTTCATGGGGTATAATGGGGGGGTGGAGGTGTGTGTGTGTGTGTGTGTGTGCATGTGCACACACACTTGCAGAGCACTCAGCATGGCAGACAGCTGATGAGTACACAGTAATCAAAACAAATAGAACTCTGGGTCCTGTGTCCAGCACCACAAAGGTGCAGTGTAAAGGCTAAATCCCATCAGACCCCTGAAGTCACCACAGCATCCCCAGGATCAAACGTGTCCATTGTTGCAGCTATGAGGACGCTGCAGACAGCACCTGAGAGGAGGGGTTCTGGGCATACAGCCAAGCATCCCTAGATACTTCCAGCTGGGCCAGTGCCACTCCCTGACTCGCAGGAATGGGAGCTGGTCATCACTCCTGGGTAGCACACTGAAAGTGAGGAGATGGGATCCTTTTCTCATTTAGCCTGTGGTCCCTGTGGTGTGACACTGGGCACTTGTACTTCCTGGTTTTCTCTGGACCTCTGTCGAGTTATCAGGACTGAGCCACAGGCCTGGGCAGCTGGGACCCCAGCCACAATTCTCTTGAATGTCCCTGCCTCCCATATCTGCTTGGCTGGCTATCCTGCTCATCCCTCCTGAGACCCTGGAGGTCACCCCACTAACCGGTACATGGTGTACTCATTAGGGGTTCCAGAATTGGGATCTGAGCCATTCTTCTTTCCAAAGTTCCCAGTCCAGAGCACGGTGTCATTGTGGATGACAAGGGCAGACATGGCAGCCAGGCCTGGGGCCGACATTGCCTTGCGCAGAATTCCATCCACCTTGTGGTAGAAGAACAGGCACTCAGAATGTGGGTGCAGTGACAGCTGTTGCCCCTGCCTCAGCACACCCACCTGTCCCCACAGCTGCACCCCTTGCAGCACGCTAGGAGCCTCCAGACCTTGTAACCCCAGCACCATGCCCTGCGAGGACCCGGCTCTCTCAGCAGCTTCCCTCCCGCCTGTTTTACATAGTGGGCTCCCTAGTGTGTGATTTTTCATGTGTGTGTTCACATGGGAAGAGTGCACACATGTGCAAGTGACACGGAAGCTGGAATTGACATTGGGGGTCTAGAATACTCTTCACCTTTGTATATCGGATCAGGGTCTCTCGCTTGAACCCAGAACTCACCGATTCAGCTAGTCCGGCTAGCCATCTTGGTCTAAGGGAATCCTCTCTCCACCTGAGTGCTGGGATTATAGACAGGCCACACGTACCCAGTACTTACACCCGTGTGGAGGATCTGAACTCTGGTCCTCATATGTGCACAAACCACTGAGCCATCTCCCAAACTGCTCTACTTAATCAGCTACCCCACCCCTTGCCTTGTGGCTTTACCTGCCCCATGCTAAGCTGTCTCCCTAGATCCCACCTGCCCTAAGTCAGCCTTTGGGGCCCTCAGTTCACCCATGTAGTCAGGGATTCCCTAGACATGCATACAAAGCGGTAGCACAGCCCCTGACTGGTACCACAGTGCTCAGCGGGAGGAGACTGCTTTGTCATTTGAGTCCTGTGGCCCTGTGATGTACGTTGTATTGGTAAATTTTCGAGTGCTCTTTGAGTTCCCTGAGAAGCTGCTGTAGAAGTGGGGTTATCGCCCCCACCCCTATTTTGGGCCCAAGCATGTTTGTTTCAAAGTGTCTCCCAAGACTCTTTGTCTGGGGACAGGCTGCCTTCCCTTGTTCTGTAACGGGGAGTAAGAATATCAACTCAGTCTAGGAATAAAAACAATACGTCACTGACGACACTAGAAAAGTTGCCGTTATTTATCTTTGGGTGTAAAACTTCTGTGAACTTGCCACCCTTTTTCTTCTGCTGGCGACTCTGCTCCTTTTGTCTCCATTCCCCTAAGGTGAGTGACCCATATGGCAGAATCTGATTGGCACCAAGGAGAGCCATCCTGAAGTGGTGCAAGTTGTGCCCTGGTGCACGTACATTCACACCTCTGTGTGTGTGTGTGTGTGTGTGTGTGTGTGTGTGTACACCCATACATGTGCTCGACCATACTACAGTGGCCTCAGTGACACGGACTCTGTCACTCTCGCATTTCGTCTTTCCGCACCTCTCTGTGAGCCCTGTGCTCACTCCACCGCTTCTGGGCCTTTTCACATGTTGACCCCGCATTTGGAGTGCACTCCTACGTCCTTCAAGCCTCTTGATCACGTCTCAGCCTTGGCCCCACAGGGCCCTGACAGCCTCCAAAGACCTCACAGTCTCTAAAACTTTCCTAATTGTGGTAGTTTGAATGTAATTGGCCTCTATAGTTCATAGGGAGGGGCACTATTAGGAGGTGTGACCTTGTTGCAATAGGTAAGGCCTTGTTGAAGGATATAGGTCATTGTGGGGGTAGGCCTTGAGGTCTCATATGCTCAAGCCACACTTAGTGTCCCAGACCACTTCCTGTTGCCTTCGAGATCAAGATGTAGGACTCTGAGCTCCTTCTCCAGCACCATGTCTGCCTGCGTGCCACCATGTCCCACCGTGATGGTAATGGATCAGACCTCTAAAACTATGTTACCCAAGAGTTGCTGTGGTCATGGTGTCTCTTCACAGCAATAGAAACCCTAACTATGACATTAATCTTCACTCTTTTTTTTCCTCCCTGTGTAGCCCTGGCTGTCCCAGAACTTGATCTGTAGACTAGGCTTGCCTTGAATTCAGATATCTATCTGCCTCTGCTTCCTGAGTGTTGGAACTAAAGGTGTGGGACACCATCCCAGGCTCCTAATCTTCATTCTTGTCCCTAAGTCAGAAATATGTATTATTTTAACTGCTTCTTCCCCTAACTGACTGACTAGGAGTCAGTCTCTCCCCACCCCTTCTGTCTTAGAACTCACAATGTAGCCCAGGCTGGCCTCAAACTTGCAGTGATTCTCCTGCCTCTGCCTCCCAAGCACTAGAACTCTAGTCACAGAACAGGCCCTCAAGAAAGTTGTGTTGAAAGCTGGGTGTGGTAGCACACACCTTTAGTCCCAGCACACAGGAGGCAGAGGCAGGTGGATACCTGTGAGTTCAAGGCCAGTTTGTTGTACAAAGCCAAGTTCCAGGACAGCCAGGGCTGTTACACAGAGAAAACATGTCAAAAAACCAAAAACAAACAAACAAGCATGTTTAGTGAATAAATGAGTGAATGCCACAGCACAGAGAGGAATCCCTCCTCTGCCAAGCTTTACTGCATTACCAGGAACGTCCTGGGCTGTCACTAACCTTCTCCAAGGCCTCCTTCAGCACTGGGAGGGGGTGAGCCAGAGGCACAAGCTCGGGGTGCCGGGGACACATCTTCACTGGGGCTGGGGTCACCTCTGGCTTCAAGGAACCTGGAGGACATATTAGAAGGTGAATACAGAAGAGGTCAGGGCAAGGGCAAAGGGACATCTTGGAGGATAGGAAGGGCTGCAGCAAAAGCCAGAGCCACGCCTTGGAGAACATCCTCCCACAGCAGAAGCCTTCCCAGGAAACGTTCAGACGTGGGCCAGCCAAGGCATAGTGTCACCCTTAGGACTGAGCCTCTTCAGGTCTCAGCTACTAGCCCCCACCCTCCCTTTCTCCTGACAGGCTTAGCCTCATCCATCCATCCATTTATCCATCTATACCTCAAGATGGTTGTGTATGTTTGGGTGACATGAACTTGAAACCCCAGAGGGGTTTCAGGCCTGAAGCAGCAGGGACAGTTTATTCTGTTCCCAGAACTGAATGCAGGCATTGGTCATGAAGTGAGTCTCATCAGTCCTTGTCCAGGGAGTGGCCGTCATCACATGGACAAATCTGGGAAATTATCCCTGAGAGTACAAGACCCTAGGGAGACTCCGATCCCAAGTGACTTACCTACTTCCTTGAAGAAAGCAGGTTAGACCAGCAGTAAAACTGTCAGCCAGCCCCTCAGAACCATGAGAAATTATCAGCTAGTGAGTTTGGTGTGTTTGTTCATTCCCTTGTGTGCTGGAGACAGATCCCAGGGCCTTGCACACTGTAGGCAAGTGCTTGAACCTAAGCTATAGCCCTAGTCCCTATATTCCTTAGACAGATAAATAGGTAGATGGTGGGGGGTTGGTCATTGGAGTAGAAGTCCTGGGTACAGCCTTAGCTTTGTCAGCTTGCTCCCTAAGTGGGTCTGGCATCTGTAGCCAGACACACAGACGGCACCTGGGGAGTCTCAAATTGGAACCAGCAAGTCTACATAGGGCCTGAAAGTGCCCACATTTGGATGGGGTTGGGGAGTTAAACAGTGTGACTGTGGAGGTCAGAGGACAACCTGTAGGAATTTTCTCTTTTTCCACCATGTGGGTTCCAGGGATCAAGTTCAGGTCATAAAGCTTGGTGGCAAGTATCTTTATCCGATGAGTCGTCTGGTCTGCCCAGCCTCTGGGAAGTTTCCTGTGGGTTGACACTGACTGCACTGGATCTGCTCACACAGTGGGTTGACACTGACTGCACTGGATCTGAGCTCACACAGTGGGTTGACACTGACTGCACTGGATCTGATCAGTGGGTTGACACTGACTGAACTGGATCTGCTCACACAGTGGGTTGACACTGACTGCACTGGATCTAAACTCATGCAGCTCGGCTCAGATTTCAAATGTCTTGAAGTCTCCCCACTACAAATTCATTTTGTGGACTTATAGTATCACAGCTTGCTAGTTCAAGAATCGTAGCCCTGAACAACCTGACCAGCTGTGGCCTATTTGCTTGAGCAACAAAGAAGTCCCTTGAAAAGGAATGTACCCCATAAAGGACTGGTGTGGGTGATGGAGACACTGGGGAGACAGTAAGAGGGGCTGTGTCTGGGAAGGCTTTTTGGGGCCATGGGAGCCCTGGTCATCTTGCTGAGCACTGACATTGGCAATATGAGTGACAGGACTGGGAGAAGCTGCTCCCAATGCAGTAGAGACTTGGGATACTGGATGCTATGGCAACAGAGGGTGGTATCCATCTGTGGCCTGCCCCTCTGGAGTCCTAGATGGAATAAGGGGATCTTTGAAAGGGGCAAGGGTCACGCAAGCCCACAGAGCAAGGGAAGCACTGTTTAAACTTTACTTTTTAGAACTAAAATTTTAAATTAGTATGTGCACATGAGGCACATACACAGTTGTATAAACACACACAACACACACACACACACACACACACACACACACACGGAGGTCAGAGAACAAATCCATAGAGTCAGTTTTCTCCTTCAACCTTCACATGGGTTCTGGGGGTCAAACTCAAGTTATCAGGCTTATTTATTTGGCAAGTGCCTTTACCTGCTGAACTGTTTCACCAGCCTCTGTTTAAGCTTCTAGGAACCCTGAGTTGACCCCCCGGGCTGGATGAACCCTGATGGCAATAGGGTTTTCACTTTGTTTAAAAGCGCTTGACCAGAGATGAACAGTGTGGCTTGGAGTGAAGAGGCCTCTGTCCTCCTTCACCCCCCACATTGCTGACTGCTCCAGGCCCAGAGGGGACCCATGCCCTCCGAGTGAGCGTGAGTGGCTTCTTCACTCACCAGCCTGCAGCTTGGGGAGGTGGTACTGCCACAGGAAGCAGCCAGTCATGGCCACTGAGAACAGGAAGAGGAAGCCGCTGAGGGACCGCAAAAACCATTTATTTTTCCCTCTTAGGAGATGGGGCTGGTGGCAGGCCTGAAGGAGCAAACACACAGGTCATGAACTCTAGGGTCAGCAGGGAGAGGAAGGTATACTCACCGCAATGCTCCCTGTGAAGTCAAGGGTCTCCCTAGGGTAAGCGCCTAATCAGCTCTACACACCTGGTCCAGCCCTGATGCCCTCGCCTCAACTCACCTCACCTGCGGCCTTTTGTGTGCTTCTCGGTATGCGTCAGAGGTGTGCACCGGGAGGCCTTGCCACACTCGACTCTCAGGACATCTGCCTCTCCTACATTCCAGGTTCCTGATCTTGAAGCTAGAATAGAGTCCCCAGTGGGAATGCCTGAAGCTCCCAGCATGTGGGTACTGCTCAGTGAGGTAGTGGGTTCTAGAAGGCTATTCATGTCACCCTATCACCATGTCAGCCTTCCAAAGCAGGCAGAAAAGCCTCCATGATGAACAGAAACGAAACTAGGACACCCCTGCGCCTGTGCGTGACCCCACAAGCTCACTAGCTGACTAAACTATGCCTCCTCAACACTGAGATTGAAGGAATACACCGCTGCACCCCGGCTTTTTTATGCAGTACTGCGGATTGAACTTGGGTCTGAGTGCTTGTGCATCAATCATGTACAAGTGTTCAAAAGCCTCACCCGAGTCTTCATCCTCCCCAAGGCATGGAAGATTCCAGCTCCTTAAGGATTCGGGCCTGGAGCCCAGGAGACCCTGTAGGCAGGAAACTGAGAGCAGCAAACGAGAAAGGAGGTGGAGGTGGTGGGGAGACAGGGCCTGGAGAGAGAGATGGCTCAGAGGTTAAGATCACTGACTGCTGTTCCCGAGGATCTGAGTTCAGTTCCCTGCATCCAAACTCACAACTGTCTGTAAACCATCTGATGCAAACACACATGTAGGCAAAACATTCATACACATTTAAAAAGAAGAAGAAGAAGAAGAGGGGAACAGAGAATAGCTAGAGAAAAGGTAAGATTTGGATGTTGGGGAAAGGGAACCCTCACTTTCCAAGCCCAGAAGCCCCATCCAGGCCAACTCCCGTTGCCCGATTGCCCAGAAATGCCGGTTTTTTTTTTTCCACTGCCAGACCCACATCCCCCAAACTCTTCTGCCTCAGACAAACCTAGATAGATGGGCACCATACCTACTCCAAATCTGCCAACAGGCCCAGGCATTTAATTCCAGATCCACTCCCCAGGCTGCCTCTCGGTGACCTACCCAGCCTGAGATTCTCACCTCTTAATCCACTTCCAGTAGGCCCCACAATCCAGGTCTTTCACAGGGTTCCCCGTGTTCCAAGAGACACAAGAGTCCTCCTGGGTTCTCAGCATGGGCTTTACCCAAATGCCCAGCGGTGACAGATGTGGCCCTCATTTCTCCAGTGCTAATCCCTCCCTGCCCTCTGCTTAGAGGATTAGCTCCCAGAAGCCCCAGCAGCAGGTAAACTGGGCAGAAGTGTCAGATTACTGCATACTCCACGTGACCTCAGAAGCTATAGATCGGGGGTGAGGGGTGGGAGTAGAGGCACAAAGGAACTCTCTCTCCAGGGTAGAAAAGCAGTGACAAAGGATGGCCACCATGATCTCGGTCACAGGCCTCTAAGACCCTTTTGAAAGCTCAAGTCAGTTCACTAGTCCCCTCTGAGGAGCATAGGGTGCCGCCTTCCTATTAAATTCTCAGGAGCACCATGGTGACCTGGGAGTGGCACTCTCTTGCCTTCTTTGTAAATGAGAATAATAATAACCACACCTAATAAAGCAGCAAGGTCACTGTAAAGCAAGAAGCCTGGGACCTGGCCCTTTGGGGAGGGCTCTGCCAAGGCTGGCTCTCATGAGTAGGCTTTGGTATCAACCCTCTGACCTGACCCTAAGGCAGACTTTAGATTTTTTTTCTAAGTGGACTTTCTGGAATGTCAGAGGCCAACTTGCAAGAGCTGGTTTTTTTCTTTCCACTGTGTGGGTTCCAGGGATTGAACTCAGGTCCTCAGGCTTGGTGGCAAGCACCATGACCTGCTGAGCCGTCTTTTTTTTTTTTTTTTTTTTTTTTTTTTTCCGAGACAGGGTTTCTCTGTGGCTTTGGAGGCTGTCCTGGAACTCGCTTGGTAGTCCAGGCTGGTCTGGAACTCACAGAGATCCGCCTGCCTCTGCCTCCCGAGTGCTGGGATTAAAGGCGTGCGCCACCAACACCCGGCCTGCTGAGCCGTCTTACAGGCTGCCGTCTGTCTTTGACCTACACTGCAGCTGCATAAAGAAGAATCTACTTTGTCACACTTCCCATCCAAAGAAGCTGATGTTCAGAGATGTGAAGTTCCCAGGAAGTTCGAGGGCTTAGGTTGGAGCACAGGAGCCCCGCTGGGAACGCCTTCCTTACCCCACATGTGACCAAACAACTGAGGTCCTCCAGGGCAAGGACAGCATGTCAAACCTAGAGCTGATGATCTGAGTCAGTTAACTCACTGCAGAAGCCTGCAAGCCTCCCCTTCTGGACACCCACCAGTCTTCTGTGGTGCTCCTCCTAGATACTTAACTTTTGTTTTGTTTTTTGCTTTTTGAGACAGGGTTTCTCTGTTAGCTTTGGAACCTGTTCTGGAACTAGCTCTTGTAGACCAGGCTTGTCTCCAAATCGCAGAGACCTGACTGCCTCTGCCTTCCAAGTGCTGGAATTGACTCTGAATACTTAACTCGACCCAACTCCAGTCCAACTATTTCTCACCTGCAAGCCAGGGTTATTCCCAATTCAGTCAGAAGAGAATTCACGTCGTGACATATAGCAATATCACCACTAGGTGGCAGCAGATATATGTGAGTAAAATCTTGGTCCCGCTTGCTCCAGTATTTTACTAGAGAATTGTTCTTCAGGCTCTATACCCATGAAACAAGAAAGATCTCACACACCACATGCTTGCACACACACGCACAGACATGTGCGCACGCAGACACACACACACACACACCAGCCAGGAAGGGAGGAATTATCCATCCTCTTTCTGCATAAGATAAATCATCCTGGCTGTCTCTATCTTTAAAATGTTTTTCTCTTTAATTATGTATTTGTGTGTATCTGTGTATATACTTTGTGCACAAAAGTGTAGTGTCCTGTGGAGGTCAGAAGAGGGTGTCATATCCCCTGGAGATGGAGTTACAGGTAGCTGTTAGCTGTCTGTCACGGATCCAGGGACTGAACTCAGCTTCTCTTCAAAAGGAGCAAGTTCCCTCATCTCTCCAGTCCCCAGAAACATAAGTTCCTTTGACTGCACAGTTTAGGCTCCACCCATTGCAGGACTCCTGGACCATAGTGCAGAGTTCAAACCTCATTTCCTGATGGTGTGACTTTGGTCAGATACTCTGTCTTTTCTTGGACTTCAGCTGTACTGACGACACTACCCTAGTGGCGTGGGAGTGGAGACTGAATAAGACAATAGTCACAGGTAGAGCATGAGGGCCACTGCCGCTGCACACCAAGAGTGCCCAATAAAGTCACTGCAATCACCATTCCTCATGTGGGCCTCTTCTCTCAGCGGGGAGATAATTGCCCTACTCTTAGGCTCACAGCTGTCTTTGGTTTGTTTATTCTCTATAGACTGTGCCATCTTTAAAAGTTTAAACATTTTATATCTGTTTATTTTTGGTGGGGTGCCTGCAGTCACATACGTGGAGGTCAGAGGGCAACTCGTTGGCACCAGCTCTCTCCTTTTACCCTGATCAGACTCAGGTCACAAGGCCTGGTGCCAACTGTCTTTATCCACTACTCAGGAGGCTGAGCAGGAGGACCAAAAGCTTAAAGCTTGCCAAAGGTAATCAAATAAGCGCCAGGCCAGTCTGGGCGACTTGGTGAGACCCTGTCTCACAAAGTGCAGGGGTGTGGACATGGCTCTGTGGGTTAAGTGTTTGTGGCCAAGCATAAGAATCTGAGCTCAGTTCCATAGCACACAGACTGGGGGCGGGGCTGGACATGACCTTGCAGTCCTTTAATCCCAGCACTGGGAGGCAGACAGGGGTGTCCTGGGGGTGACAACTTGCAAGATGTATTTATTTGCAGCGCTGTGGACAGAAACCCTCCGGCTCACCCATGCTAGGCAAATGCTGTGGCATCCAGCGACATCCCCAGACCACCTCATGTATTCACTATATACCCACATGTATTTCCAGTTTCCCCTATGGGATTAAGAACTCTCGTGACCCAATCACTTAGCATTTCTTTTTCTTTTCTGGAGCGCTGGGATGGAGCCAGGCAAGTGTTCCACCACTGAACTCCATCTCCAGGGTCTGTCTACACTTCACTTCTTAATGGATGCCAGGCTTCCAAACAATGAGCTGCTGGGAAAGCTCTAGTATTACTTTCTCTTATTTAATAATTTATTTTTATTATATGTGCATTGGTGTTTACCTTCATGCATGTCTGTGTGAGGGTGTCTGATTCCCTGAAATAGAAGTTATAGACACTTGTGAACTGCTATGTGGGTGCTGGGTATTGAACCTGGGTCCTCTGGAAAAGCAGCCAGTACTCTTAATCACTGAGCCATCTCTCCAGCCCCTATAGTAGTACTTTCTCATCAGGACCATCGGCTTGCAAATGATGACATGGAGACTTATTATTAATTATAAAAGCTCAGCCTTCTCTTGGGCTTGTTCCTAACTAGTTCTTATATTGTAAAGTAACCCATATTTTTTTAATCTATGTTCTTCCACGAGGCTCATTAGCTCATCTCTGTACTGCCCATCCAGCTCCTTCCACTTCTGGCTGGCAGCCCGCCTTTCTTCTTCCCAGAGTTCTCTCTGCCTGGAAGTCCCGCCTACACTCTCCTGCCTAGCTATTGGCCATTCAGCTTTTTATTACACCAACCAGAGCAATACATCATCACATGTGTACAAACATTCCACAACAGAAAGCACTTAACGAAGATGTGACTTCTATGTTGAATTCTGGCTGGAGTGAAGTTGTCTGGAGGTGTTGGTTTTGGAAGACAATGAATTAGAACAGCAGACATGGTAGGTGAGGGAGTCCAGGGGAGAAGCCACAGCAATAAACAGGAATTGGGCGGCACCTTTGGGGACTGGCTGGTAACCTAAGCAGGTTGCAGGGCATGGTGTGAGAGATGATTTTTAGGGGAGATGCCAGCATGGCTTGGGGTCACAATGAGTTCATACAGGTGGCAGTTTCCTTTCTGGTTCTCCTGAAGAGAATTGGTGCTAGTTTCTCACCCCAGATTTGCTTACCTCTTCTCTCTCTTGGCATGCCACGTGCAAATGTGTGATGTGTGGTGTGTGTGGTGTGTGTGTGTGGTGTGGTGTGTGTGTGTCTGTGTGTGGTGTGTATGTTGTGTGTGTGTTGTGTTGTGTGTGATGTGTGTGTGTGGTATGTTGTATGTGTGAGGTGTGTGTATGTTGTATGGTGTGTGTGTGGTGTGTGTGTGAGGTGTGTATGTGGTGTGTGTGTGTGTGGTGTGTGTGGTGTGTGTGTGATGTGTGTGGTGTGTGTGTGGTGTGTGTGCGGTGTGTTGTGTGTGTTGTGTGGTGTGTGTGTGGTGTGTATATGTTGTGTGTTGTGTGTGTGGTGTGTGTGTGAGGTGTGTGTGTGGTGTGTGTGTGTGTGTGGTGTGTGCGTGGTAGGCTAGGCTTTCTGGCCAGTGAGCCCCAGGCATCCCATCTCTGCCTTCCAGCACTGAGATTACCAGTGTATAAGCGTGTGCCACCATGTCTAGCTCGTGTTCCATGGGTTCTGAGGACTGAACTCAAGCTCTATGCTTACTGACAAAGCCATCTCTGCCTCCATCTCCCGAGTGCTGGGATTACAGACGTGAACCTCCACACCTAGACTATACAGTGCTGGGGCATGGACACAGGGCTTCATGCATGTTTGACAAGCACTCTACCAACCAATCTAATTCCCAGGCTTCCCTGATACCGTTTAAACCTTCCTTTCACTTATTTAGACCAATATACAAGAATCTAGCATTCATGGGCTGGAGAGACTGTACAGTGATTTTGTTGTTGTTGTTGTTTGGCTTTTTTTGTTTGTTTTTTGAGACAAGGTTTCTCTGTGGCTTTGGAGACTGTCCTGGAACTAGCTCTTGTAGACCAGGCTGGTCTCGAACTCACAGAGATCTGCCTGCCTCTGCCTCCAGAGTGCTGGGATTAAAGGTGTGTGCCACCACCGCCCGGCCTGTGCAGTGGTTTAGAGCACTGACTGCTCTTCCAGAGTTCAATTCCCAGCATCCACAAGAAAGCTCACAACCATCTGTAACTCTGGCTCCTGGGGATCCAAAGAAGAACCAGACACAGAAGCAGTGCTTATACATGTTCATATATATGCAGGCAAAACACTCATACATACTAAAGAAAGAATGAGAAGATAAAGTGTAAAGAGAAGTGTGATGAACTGAAATCAGGTTTCTAGTTGGGATTCCTGGCCAAAAACTACACGTGGACGCTGCAGGGAAGGCCCCGGCTGTCACTAGAGCACTAACAGCTGTATTGTTACGACATTCACTCTAACCAGGTCCTGGAGGGAAAGTGCAGCATCTGCCCCCACCACAAAGAGCTGATGACGAAACAGTTGAGAAACGTGTCTAAGGAGCCACTGAGCACAAAAAGTACACTTCAGGGCCAGCAAGAGGGTTCAGCGGGTGCAGGCAAGCCAGACAGTCACACACATAAATAACTGAAATAAAACATTTTAAAATTTCTTTTTAAATTTATATGTGTGTGCTTGGTTAAGTATGTGTATCTCACATGTATGCAGGTACCCAGGGAGACCAGAGAAGGGTGTTGGATCCCCTGACGCTGGGGCTACAGGCAGTTGTGAGCTTCTTGACGTGGGCACTGGAAAATGGACCTAGGTCCTCTGTAAGAGTGGTGCGGTGGCTAATCTTGGTGGTCAACAGGACATCTGGGAAGAAGGAATCTCAACTGAAGAGTTATCTCTCCCACATTGGTCTGTGGGTGGTTTTTTGATTGCTAATTGATGCAGGAGGGCCAGGCTCACTGTGGGAAGCAGCGTCTCTGGGAAGTGGGCCTGAATTCTGTTAAGAAAGGTACTTGAGGGCTAGATATGGTGGCACACCTTAGCCCCAGCACTCAGGAGGCAGAGGCAGGAGTATCTCTGTGAGTTCAAAGCCAGCCTGATCCTCAAAGTGAGTTCCAGGCCAGTTGGGTCTATATGGTGAGACTCTGTCTCAAAAAGAAAAATAAAAAATAAAAAGAACAGCGGTTGACTGAGCCAGTAGGCAGCATTCCTCCATGGTCTCTGTTTCAGTTCATGAGTTCCTTGAGTTCCTGCCTTGGTTTCCCTTGAAGATGTAACCCATAAGCCAAATAAACCCTTTCTTCCCCAGGTTGCTTTTAATCATGGCTTTTTGTTGTTTTATTTTGTTTTCACAGCAACAGTCTGGGACTGGGTTGGTTGCCTCAAGAGATAGAGAGAAGGTGTTTGCTGTTTTTATTTTATTATTATTTTAGGTACGTGTTCATGTGTATGTTCGTGACACGTGTGGAGGTTAGAGGACGATTTTCAAGAGTCAATTTTCTCCCCCAACCAAGTGAGTTCTAGGAATTGAACTCAGGTTACCAGAGTAACCTGGTGGGAAGTGCCTTAACCTGATGAGCCAAAGAGAGTGTTGCTTTGTTTTGCTCACTTTGGAAATACTGGGGGTTGAACCCAAGACCTTGTATATCCTAGGCAAGGGCTCTATAACTGAGCTACATCCCTAATGCAGGTGTTGTTATAAAGCAGCTTTGGCTTTCCTGGTTCTCTTTCACTTCCTTTATCTGTATTTGTGGGGGGTCTCTGTCTGTCTGTCTGTCTGTGTCTCTCTCTTCTCTCTTTTTCTCCTCCCCCCCTTTCTCTCACACACACACAGTGTGACGCTGTCCTCTTTGAAGCCCTCACAAAAAGTCACTGCTAGCTTCATATTCTTGGACCTCCAGGACTGTGAACTAAACAAAGGTCTTTTCTTTGTAAGTTCCCAGGCTCGGATATTTTGTTACAGCAGCAGCAACAACAAAGACCAAACTCATAGGCCGGGTGAAGCTCACACCAGCAGAGGCTAGCCCATTTCAATCGCATTCACTGGGGGTATTGGTGGCATAGTTAGAGATGGTGGAGAACGTGGAGCCATTCCTTCTTGTCCTGTGCTGTCTCCTGGAGAAGTCCCAGTGTCTGCTGTTCCGCCGGCGGCGGCGGCTCATTTTATTCCATATGATGAACATCTGATTTTCCAAGGCCTTCAGCTTCATCTCACTGAACAACAGCCGCTCAAGGACCTTATCCTGGAGGGCGAAGCAAGCATTCATTTTCTCCAACTCTCTCTTGTTCATGGCCATGACCTTAGGATTGACTTCTGGGGCCATTTTTTCTGCCACCTCCTAAGAGCCCCATCAGAAGACAAGAGTCAGTTCACAATGATAATTCCTTCCAGCACAGAGCATTTGTTCTAGGCCAGGCTAATTTTATTTTTCATCTTTGAGACAGAGTCTCATTTAGCCTAGGATGGTCTGGAACTCACTACATAGCCCAGGATAACCTTGGACTCCTCATCTTCCTGCCTCTACCTCTCCAGTGCTGGGGCTACACGTGTATATCTGTACACCTAACTTACACAGTGCTGGGGAGTGAACCCTTGGGGCTTCACACATGCTAGGCTCTACCGGTTGAGCTGTAGTCCCAGCCCTCCAGGCCGTCTTATCAATTTTCAGGCCCTCCGTCAAGGTGAGAGCATCTTTGCCATAATTTGTGGTTGGGAGAATTGGGATCCAGTGAGGGAAAGTAACTTTCTCATCACCCTACAGCCAACCCTTCCTTCTCCAAAGGTCTAACACCTGTGGCTGTCTTTGTTTCCCAGGAACCATCTGCCAGTTGTAGAAGACATAAAGCTCTTGGGTTGACAAGACGGCTCAATGGGTAAAGGTTCTTGTCACCAAGTCGGACATGAGTCTGACCCCCAGGACTCACACAGTGGAAGGAGAGAGCTGACTCCTGCAGACTGTCATCCCAACATGCAGTGTGGCACAAGATTACCCATACACATTAAAGAAGAAATTAAGATCATATGTATATGTCTGTCTCCAAAATCTTTATTTTCCAAATTCTTCCTGAGCGTTTTTGCCAGAATCAATAAAACCTCAAACTACAGTATCTTAGTGGTTTCTAGACATACTCAGTGTTCAATCCTCACAAGTCCTCATGTGCCCTACCCCCAGTTTATAGTAACATTTCCCCCTTTGGATTAAGCTACAAACTATTGGTCTTTAAAAACTGTACACATGGGGGCTGGAGAGATGGCTCAGAGGTTAAGAGCACAGGCTAGTCTTCTAGATCCCAGCAACCACATGGTGGCTCACAAACATCTGTCATGAGATCCCATGCCCTCTTCTGGCATGCATGCCAGAACACTGCATGCATAATAAATAAATAAGTAGCCGGGCGTTGGTGGTGCACGCCTTTTTTTTTTTTTTTTTGTCTCTATTCCACACTTTCTCCACCCTGTTTGCTGCCCAGGCAACACACTACAGAGAAAAGAACACACAGTCAAAAGTCAGAGGAGCCGGGCGTTGGTGGCGCATGCCTTTTATCCCAGCACTCGGGAGGCAGAGGCAGGCGGATCTCTGTGAGTTCGAGACCAGCCTGGTCTACCAAGCGAGTTCCAGGACAGCCTCCAAAGCCACAGAGAAACCCTGTCTCGAAAAACCAAAAAAAAAAAAAAAAAAAAAAAAAAAGAAATACTTTAGCAGGGTGTTGGTGGCACACACCTTTGATCCCAGCACTCAGGAGGCAGAGACCAGCCTGGTATACAAAGTGATTTCCAAGACAGCCATAGCTGTTACTCCGAGAAACCCTGTCTCAAAAAAAACAAAAAACAAAAAACAAAAAAAAAAAGGAAAAGTAAAGAAAAAGAAAGGAAGAAAAGAAAAAGAAAGGAAGAAAGATGGAAAGAAAGACTTTAAAACTATTTCAGGATGGGATCTAGCTCAGTTGGTGGACTGTTTGCTTGGCATAACTAAAGTCCTGGGGTTTGAACTCTAGCAGTATATAATCTAGTTGTGGTGGCACACACCTATAACTCCAGCACTCAGGAGATGGAAGCAGGGGGACCAGGGGCTCAAGTCATCTTTGACTACACAGTGGAGGTCAGCACGGGCTACATGAAACCTTACCTCAAAAAAGAAAATAAAGCCAGGCATTGGTGGCTCACGCCTTTAATCCCAGCACTCGAGAGGCAGAGGCAGGAGGACCTCTGTAAGTTCGAGGTCAGCCTGGTTTACAGAGCGAGTTCCAGGACAGCCTCCAAAACAATACAGAGAAATCCTGTCTTGAAAAAACAAAACAAAAAAAAACAAAGTAAAAAGATGTGGGGAAAAAAAAAACAGTAAATATTACACCAAATTCCCACCTTTCTCATGTAAACTTAAGAAATCAAAAAAAGGGTGGGCTGGAGAGATGGCTCAGTGGTTAAGAGCACTGGCTGCTCTTCCAGAGGCCCTGGGTTCAATTCCCAGCACCTACATGGTGGCTCACTACCATCTATAATGAGATCTGGTGCCCTCTTCTGACGTGCAGGCAGACATGCAGAGCACTCAGACCGAAAAAAGGAAAAAAAATAGAGAATATTTTTTTAAAAAATCAAATAAAGTACTGGGGATTCAGCTCAGTGGGAGAGCAGGGAGGGAGAAGGGGCATCAGGGGAAGGGGGAAAGAAGAAGGCAGGCATTTCACAAATATAATTGAAATTTCTGTGAACTTCTCCCCCTGAAATTCCCTTCCCCCAAACATCAGTTCCTCAGCTATAGTCCTGAATTTGGTAGTTAGCATCTTAATGCATTTTTCCCTTTACAAATGTACAAATGGATGGTGTGGGTGTGTGTTTGCATGCTAGTGTATGAGCATGTGTGTTTGTGTGTGAAGAGGCCCCAGGCTGATGTTGGGTGTCTTCCTCAATTGTTCTCCACCCTATATATGAGGAAAGGTTCTCCCTGAACCCAGAGCTCACTGTTTTGGCTAGCCAGCCTATTCTGGAGAATCCTCCATCTCCACCTGATACAGACTAGGATTACCGGCTGACCTCTACACCTATTCACGTTTATTTATTGTTTTTTCAAGACAGAATCTCTCTGTGTAGCTTTGTAGACCAGGCTGGTCTCGAACTCACAGAGATCCACCTGCCTCTGCCTCCCCAGTGTTGGGACTAAAGGAGTGAGTCACCAACTGCCTGGCCTACCTATTTGCTTCTAAGTGGGTACTGGGCATCCAATTCCAGTCCTCACATTTGCCAGCAAGTGCTTTGCCTATTGGGACATATCCCTAGCCCTCAGATGTCGCCTTTAAATTTAAAGTCATTTTATTTTTAGATTTATTTACTTTATGTTTATGTTTGAGGGTGTGTGTGTGTCCATTTCAGAAGTGGTGAAACCCCTTAAGAGAGTTTCACAGGCATGCCTTCAAAGGGGGTCATGGAACCCTGATTTGTTCTCCTTTTCACTTTCTGGCCATATGTGTTTATGGTGATATTTATGATTTATTAAAGCTTACCTGAAGATCCAGAAAGCAAAGTTAGCCACAAGTCATAAAAGCCAGGTGCACACCTTTAGTCCCAGCAGCCAGAGAAGCTAGGAGGTGATGGTGCACACCTTTAATCCTAGGACTCAGGATTAAGAGATAAATGATTCCCTCTGAGTTCAAGGTCACCCAGATTACACACAATTGATCCAGTCCTAGACAGAAACAGCTCACACAAAGATGGTCTCAGCACCTAGGGTTGCACGCCTTTAGTCCCAGCATTAGGGAGGTAGATAAGACAGGAGCAGGGTCTCAGTATCGAATTCATTCTCCAGTCCCATGAAGGGTAGGAATTCTACAGCCATGCTGAGGAGAGGCGGCAGGATCCGGCCTTTCCGCCTGAGGCAGTGGTAAGAGCCAGTGGCCAGCTACTTTGCGTTTCTGATCTTCGGCTTGAAGCTTGAACCCCGAACCCAGATATCAGTCTCTGGGTCCTTTATTTTTCATGTTACGTGTGCTCAGTTTTGTTCTTCCCTCCCATAACCCGATTGCTGGGGGCTTGAAGCAGTGTGTCCACCCAGACAAGAGTCAGAACCTCTAAAACCGAGAGCCAAAAGAAATCTCTTTTCGAGCCAGGCGTTGGTGGCGCACGCCTTTAATCCCAGCACTCGGGAGGCAGAGGCAGGGGGATCTCTGTGAGTTCGAGGCCAGCCTGGTCTACAAAGCGAGTTCCAGGACAACCTCCAAAACAATACAGAGAAACCCTGTCTCGAAAAACCAAGAAAAAAAAAAAAAAGAAATCTCTTTTCTTTACAAGATGACTAGTTCAGGTAGAGGTTAGAGTAGAAGAAAACTGACTGACACAATTTGTGCATTTTTTGAAGTCTTCATTATTCTACTTTAGAAAACAATAACCCATATTTGAAGCTAAGCCTAAGCACTGTCTTGCTTACCATCTGGGGCTGGGTAGGAGCCTGACTGAGTTCATGCTTGACCATCCAGTTGCTGAGCAATAGCAGAAGGAAGAGGAAGCCAAACAAGGCTGGCTTAAAGCTTATCAGCCGGGCCAAGACTGCTCCTATGGTGCCAGAAGAAGCAAGGAAGCCATGGAAATGCCTCAGAAGAAATATCAGGTTCCCCAACATTATGGCACAGAGGGGCACAGGCCCAAAGCCCCTGCCGAAGTCCCCTCCATGACAGGAGGCACAGCCACCCACTCCTGATTCATAGCCAGCCCCCACCCCCACCCTGGCTGTCGCATAACAATAAGTACTCCTATGTCTCCAGGGCCCACTGTGTGTCAGGCAGCTTGCAGGCACCATCTCAGGACTTCCTGGTGGTGGCAGCCAAGTGACAGTAACGTAGGCCTCAGCAGAACCTCTCTCAGTGAACATTTCTGGGTGTGCCCTGTAACAAAAAAAGCCAATGCCACCGACCACCTGTACTCATAGTGGGGGAGATGGCAAGGAAAACTTATTCACAGCATGGAGACAAGGCAAAGGGACTGCGTGTGCACTTTCATAGTCACGATAGCATACTGTCAATAAGTTCATGGAGGCCACATGCTTGATTTACTTTAAAAAATATACTTACTAAAGTCATCTGAGAGGGAACCTCAGTTAGGAAAACGCGTCCTCGATGGGTAGTGGTGGCGTGGTGGCGCACACCTTTAGTCCCCCGCACTCGGGAGGCAGAGGCAGGCGGATCTCTGTGAGTTCCTGGTTAGCCTGGTCTACAAGAGTGAGTTCCAGGACAGGCTCCAAAGTTACAGAGAAACTCTGCCTCGAAAAACACAACAAGAGCAGCAGCAACGAGTAAATCCCTCCTGAAGATGGAGCTGTAGGCAATAACCCTGTAGGGAATTTTCTTAATTAGTGACTGATGGGGGAGGGACCAGCCCATTGTGGATGGTGCCATCCCTGGACTGGTGTCCTGGCAGGATGAACAATCCTGAGAGAGCAAGCCAGAAAGCAGCACCCCCCCAGGGCCTCTGCATCAGCTGCTGCCTCCAGGTTCCTACCCAATCTGAGTTCCTTTCCTGACCTCATTCAGTGATACACAGTGATGTGGCAGGAGAAGCCAAATAAACCCTTTCCTCCCCAAGTGGCTTTTGGTCATGGTGTTTCATCACAGCAATAGTAACCCTAACTAAGACACTTTTTTGTTTTGTCTTATTTGTTGACAGCAATATTTCTATGCAGCCAGGCTAGTCTAGAAGTGTGGCCCTCCTGCCTCAGGCTCCCGTGTGCTGGGATTATAGGCATGTGCCACCATGCCGGCAGATGTTAACTTTTTTTTTTTTTTTTGGTTTTTCAAGACAGGGTTTCTCTGTATTGTTTGGGAGGCTGTCCTGGTACTCGCTGTGTAGACCAGGTTGGCCTTGAACACAAAAAGATCCATCTCCCAGCACTCGGGAGGCAGAGACAGACAGATCTCTGTGAGTTTGAGGCCAGCCTGGTCTGCAGAGCGAGTTCCAGGACAGCTTCCAAAACAATACAGAGAAACCCTGTCTGGAAATACCCAAACAAACAAACAAACAAACAAACAAAAACAAAAAAATCCACCTGCCTCTGCCTCCCTAGTGTTGGGATTAAAGACATGAACCATTATGCCTGGCTTTAAAAGCTTTTTAAAATAAGGAAAAGGAAAAAAGTCAGAAGTTTGAAGCAATCAAATTTGCATTGACAAATGAATGGATAAATAAAATGGGAGCTGGAGATACAGTTCAGTGATACAGTGCTTGCCTACAGTGTTTGTGGCCAAACCTAGCCTCACTGCTGGGGGAGGTTTTTTTCAGCACGTTAATTGAAGCAGAAGACTGGGCCAGCTCTGGGTGGAGCCTTTTCTGAACTCCTGGCCTGTATAAGATGGAGAAAGGGAGCTGAGCAGCACGTACATTCGTCACACGCAGCTTCCTGACTGTGGATGTGGCCAGGCCAGCTTGTTCTAGCTATCCTGGCTCCCCTGCCCTGACGGTGTACCTTGAACTGTGAACTAGGCTAAATTCTTAGAGGCAGAAAGTAGAAGAGTGGCATAATGTGCTGACATTCTTGGACATGATGCCTTTCATGATGGGAGAGCAGGGCTTAGCTAGCACCAGGCAGCCTTCCCACGGTGTCAACCCTTCCCTGAATCGCTGTCATCTCTTCCCCACAAACTCACCTCTGTTCCAACATAATTCTATCACAGTCATTGATGTTGTTGATTTTGGTCAAGCCAATATACTTCACACATGAGATATATGTTATACTGTGACTCTTTTTTTTTCTTGTATAGCTTTTTAAAAAGGTCTGTTTATGTAGCTCAATTAGTTTTGATGAATATTCACAACCCTGTAGACATCACCCCAATTGCAGTGTGGAATTTCTTCCCAGCAAACTCTCCCCTACTGTTTTGCAGCCAGCTTTCCCACCGTGGAAGACTTAGCAGACGCGACAATAAACTACTTGTAATAGGAAGCCAGACCTTAGTAGGCCCTGGGACCCCAACACAGCGGACAGCATGGTGGAAAGTACCATTCAGGCTGTAAAACTCAGCACATAGACAGTACCATCTGCCAAAACTAAAACAAAGACCTAATCCATCAAAGTCCATAGTTCTGGGAAATGTACTAACCTTGCTTTTTGGCTTTTGTATTTTTGCTTCTGGCTAACTCTTCTTGTTAACTGAAGCATGTCAACCCAGGACATGGTTTTTGTGCTTGAATGCTTAACCCTGAGAAAGGCTCAGGGCTACAACTGAGATCCCAAACACCCAGTAGTTGCCAGCAGGCTGATAAAGATTTTCTGTTAGCTTAAACTCACTTCTGAGCCGTCTTCCCTGGTGATTGTCCCTACAACATCACCCACACTCAACTTCCCGTACATCTCAACATCTCACGAATAAAACACCCACCACCACCACCACATTAGAAAGAACTGACTTAGGTAGAAGAAGTGTTACATACCTGGAGATGAGGGGCATGGAGGAGGCATGATTTCCTTATTTCTCTCTATTTTACTACTGTGGGAATCCGTGCATTCTTCATTTTTCTCCCAGTCTAAGCTGGGCGGATCTGAAGCTGGGCGGATCTGAAGTTAGTTGACCCTACAGTCCCCCAGTACTATGGATAACCCAGGGCCATGCACATGCTAGGCAAGCCCTCTAAAGTTTAGTAACACAGCGTAGGATAATTAAGCGATCATTAATTAAGTCGTGGTGTTCTCCTGTCTCAGTTAGTTGGTAAACTCTCTGTAAGCCACCAACTCCATAATTCAACCCTTATCCTGCAGTTAGAATTAATGGTATTAGTTGGCTCCGTACCGCAAGGGGAGCTCTACGTCGGCCTCGCGCTCGGAGCTCCGACTCCGCTCTAGCCTCCAGGACGCCGCTCTGTGGCTGCGAGGAGGCCGGGAGAGGCCGGTGCACGGCTGCGGCTTTTTGTCCTGACGCGGCGGGAGCGCGCAGGGCGCGTGCGCACGCGGAGGTGTCTGGCTTCTCACGGGTCGTGTGAGGTGCGGGGAGGGAAGGCTAGGCGGCTGCGGACCCACGGAGCGGCAGACCGAGCGGCCCCTGCGGCCCGCGGCGGCCAGGCGGCCCGAGATGTTGTCCGGGAAGAAGGCGGCGGCGGCGGCGGCGGCGGCAGCAGCAGCGGCGGCGGCGGCGGCGGCGGCGGCAGCGGCTGGGACGGAGACCGGGCCCGGATCGGCGGGCGGCGCCGAGAACGGCTCTGAGGTGGCTGCGCCAACCGCGGGTCTGGCGGGCCCCACCGACGTCCCCTCGGGGGCGGCGGGCGAGCGCACTCCCCGAAAGAAGGAGCCTCCGCGGGCCTCGCCCCCCGGGGGCCTGGCCGAGCCTCCCGGATCCGCCGGGCCCCAGGCCGGGCCCACAGCCGGGCCCGGCTCCGCGACGCCCATGGAGACGGGAATAGCCGAGACCCCGGAGGGCCGACGGACTAGCCGGCGCAAGCGGGCGAAGGTGAGGCCGGGCCCAGCCGCTGGCTCCCGGGACCCGGAGTGGGGATGGCGGGGGAGGGGAGGCCCGGCCTTTGTGCGGGGACCCGGGGTATCGGGCACCGGAGGGTGTGACCGTCTGGATCTTCTGACCGGGAAAGATGGCTTCCCGACGCGTTGGTCCACCTGTGTGGCTGTTGTGTACCGACATCGGGTGGCGGCTGGTCTGGGTGCACGCGGGAGCTGGAGGTGATGCTTGAGAGTAAAGGGACATGAAAAGGAAGGGACTTTTTTCTTTGATTTTTAAAAGATCTTGCTGTACTCCAGGTTTTTCACATTTTTTTCCTCTCACAGTGGTCTTTGGCGTAGACTTCCTTTTTTTTTTAAACATTCATTTGTTGTCTGCGTGCGAGTGGAGATCATAGGACAGCTCGCCTGAGTAGGTTTTTGTCCTGCCACCGTGCTCAGGAGTCGAACCGAGTTTGTCAGGCTTGGCGGCAAACGCTGTCGGAGGGCTCGGGTAGACTTTTACAGATGTGGAAGCGGATGAAGAATGCTCCTAGCAGTTGGTCACGGTACAAATGCAAAGATAAAAATTTGGCACCAAATCCAACACTATATACTGATAACCTCTGTCTCACGCCTCTGTGTGCCAGATGGTACATTTGGCACACAGCCAACGTTTTCGTTTTGGCAAACACCACTGAACGGGTATTGTTAGCTTCGCTTTAAGAATGAGTTAGCCGAGGTTTACAGTTTAAAAGTTTGGTGTTTTGACAGGGTGTCATTTCTTTACTGAAACAAAGAGCACCTTGGGCAGTGATACGGCTAAGCGTTGGTGTGACTTTATTGCACAGACCTTGGCGTTTTCTGGAGAGTTCTTAATCCCATAGGGGAAACTGGAAATACATGTGGGTATATAATGAAAACATGAGGTCGTCTGGGGATGTCGCTGGATGGCACAGCATTTGCCTAGCATGGTTGAGCTGGAGGGTTTCTGTCCACACCCCTCAAACAAATACATCAGTACAAGTGTTAAAGTGCCACTTACCTCTCCTTGTACTCCTGCTGTACTGGGGAACTGCAGTGCTAGGCAGACTCCCTACCACTACTACATTCCCCTTTTATTTTGAAGCTCAGTTGCCCAGATTAAGCCCTGAGTTTATTTGGCCTACACAGGGCTTGAACTTGTGATCCTCCTTTGTTAGCCTCCCAAGTGACTGGGATTCTAGGCTGGCCTCATTTTTGATCTGACAGCTTGGTATGTTACTCACTTTGACCTCAAACT